CCCCCCCCCGCCAATGTCTTTGTTCTCTAGCACTGACTGTTGCTAGCAGCTGTGGCCTCTGCTGGGGGCAGCTGGGAGTGCTGGGTGGGCATTCGGGGAACACAGGGTGGGGACGATCTGGGATGGGGAGGCTTTAAAGGGAAGGGAAAGGCCAGGTCATGTTGGGGTGCTGCCTAGGGCAACAGGGACAGCTGAACAGGGGATCTGCTGAACCTTGGACCCTCAGCCTTGCCAGGTCCAAACTGGGCTTGATCCACACACCTCAGAGTTGCATACATACACCTCTCTGATTCTGGCGAAGTAGGTGCAGGACAATATGATGCATAAGGTGGGATATGGTCATTCATTCCTTTAATGAATATTTCCTGAGTGCCTACTATGTGTCAGGCACAGAGTGGGCTCTTGGGGCCCATCCATGAACAAAAGAAACAAAGAAGGCAGGGGAAGACATCATAAACAGTATAATAAATGAGCAAATTACCTAATGTGTTAGAAAATGATAAATGCTCTGAGGAAAAAGTCAGGGATGCTGGAGGGACAGGAGGAATGGGTTGCAGGGTGGTCAGGGGAGCCTCATCGAGATGGTGAAGTTTGAGCAAAGCTGTGAGAGACTTGGTGTGGTGGCAGCCTCGAGTAAGAGCAACCAGGCAGATGGAAGAGCAGGTGCAAAGGCCCTGAGGTGGGAATGTGCCAGGACCCCAGTGTGGCCAGAGTAGAGTAAACAGAGAGGGCTGGGGGAAATGGAGAGGGAGGAGAGGTTTTTGAGCAGAAGAGTGACACGGCCTGACTTGGATTTAATGTGGGAGGAACCCGTAGAAGCACAAGGGTGGCAGCTGGAAAAAGGCTTAGGAGGTGTGTTGCTGGGGCCCTAATGACAGCCATTCTCCCCACCCAGGTGTGTGGGGAGCAGCACCGCTTTGAGAAGCTAATGGAATATTTCCAGAAAGAAGACAGCAACATCGACTTCATGGTGAGCTCGGGACACCAGGCTGGGCCCAACCACCCTCAGTGTGAGGGGCAGTCAGGGGCCCTGGGCATCTGGGATCTGGGCTCTGCTGCTGCAAAGTATGAGGATTGAGAGGTTGGTGGGGAGGGGAAGCTGGAAGGAGGGGATGCGGCATGTAGGGGGAAAATACGGGGAGGGACAAAGCTGGGTTAGCAGAGTGAGAAATGGGGAAAAGGAGAGAGACTTGGGAATAAATGGGGGGTGGTGATGGAAGGCACTGAGCTCCCCCACCCAGAGGATCACAGACCGACGTGCTCCTGTTCCCTACTCCCCAGGTGGCCTGCATGCAATTCATCAACATCGTGGTACACTCTGTGGAGAACATGAACTTCCGTGTCTTCCTGCAATACGAGTTCACCCACCTGGGCTTGGACTTGTACTTGGAGGTGAGCCCTACATCCTCCCTCCCCTCTGGGACTCAACCAGTTGCCAACTGCAGAGTATGGCTCTGCGGTTAGCAGCATGGGCGTTGAGGTCAGGCAGATCCGGGTTCAAATCCTGACTCTGTCACTTCCAAGCCCATGTGACTTTGGATAGGTCTCTTCTCTCTGAGTCTCAGCTTTGCCACCTGTAAAACAGGAGAGTTATAAAGATGATAATGACTCTACATAGAATGAGGCAGAACGTTTTCTGCCACCTGATAGGCACACAGTCCATGGAGCTATTGTTGCAGTCACCGGTAGGGCTCTAGGTGGCCCTGGGTCTGGCTCTGGGAGGATCAGCCTCAGACAGGCACATAATGGAGAGCACAGAGGTACTGGGCCGTATTGGGATCTGGCTCATGCTGGATGGGTCCAGGTCAAGGAGGAGTTCCTTGCCCCGGGAAGGGTTAGGCAGAGGGGCTTGGTGCTTTCGGGTTCAGCCTGTGCAGAGAAGGCACGGCTTTTCCTGATTCCTTTCAGAGGCTGCTTGGAGAAGTGGGGACTTTGGGATTGGATTTTTATCATTTTTTGTTATTTATTTTGAAAGACAGAGAGAGAGCGCGCATACACGCACACGTGAGGGCGAGAGCCAGAGAGGGAGAGAGAGAATCCCGTGCTGTCACCTCAGAGCCTGACGACGGGCTGACAATGATCATGAGATCATAACCTGAGCTGAAATGAAGGGCTGGACACTTAACCAACTGAGCCACCCAGGCTCCCCTGGGAGCCAATCCCCTGGGATTGGATTTTTAAAAAGCCAGGATTAACAAAAGGTGCAGAGCAGGCTGGGGTGATATATCCATGCAATGGAATATTATTCAGCCGTAAAAAGGAATAAATTACTGATACATGCTATCACACGGATGAACCTTGAAAGCATTACGCTAAGCGAAATACGCCAAGTCACCAAAGCCCAAATACTGTACGATTCCTTTACATGACTGTCCGGAATAGGTATGTCCACAGAGGCAGAAGATAGATTGGCGGTTGCCAGTTGGGATCGGGAGAGGAGAGAATAGGGACTGACTGCTAACAGGTACAGGGGTTCTTTTGGGGGTGATAGAAATGTTCTGGAATTAGACACCCGTGATGGTTGCACAACCCTGTGAATATACTAGAAGCTATTGAATTATATGCTTTAAAGTAGTGAATTTTATGGTATGTGAATTATATCTCAATAAAAAAGAAAAAGCAGGCTGGGGCTCAAGCCCCTTCCCCTGGGCTCTAGCGGTGATGGGCCGTTCTGAGAGACCCCTCACATTGGGCCTCACCCTGCTCCTTCTGTCTGGGGGACAGAGGCTTCGGCTCACCGAGAGTGACAAGCTGCAGGTACAGATCCAAGCATACTTGGACAATGTTTTTGATGTGGGTGCGCTGCTGGAGGACACGGAGACCAAGAATGCTGTGCTGGAGCACATGGAGGAGCTGCAGGAGCAGGTGGCCCAGGTGGGAGGTGTTCCTGAACTTGGCTCAGCACATCGTAGGCCCCCAGGGCTTCACATTCGCATCAGGCCCTGGGCCTCAAACCCAAACAGGGGGTGGGCTGGGGGTGGGCCGTGGCTGTCTGCCTGGTTCCAGACTTTGACCTGAATCCACATCTTGGGTGTCTTTCTCAGTGAGCGTTCGCTGGGTTCCTGCGCTGTGGGACCTCTGCAGGAGGCAGGCCCCTCCTCTCCCTGTGCTCAGAGCCCACATCCTGGCTTGGGCGGAACTAGGTGCCTGGGGCCCCTCCTAGCCCAATCTCTTCTCCACTCACCTCCTTCCTCAGTGGTGCCCTGGTTTCTCCTCCTGAGAGAACTTTAGTGCCCTCAGTGCCTTACCTACTTGGGTTCAAGTGCCAGGCTCAGCCCACCCGCCAGCACATCCGGAAGCCTCCCCCAGCCCTTCAGGCAGGCATGCCTGCTGCCGCCCCCTCACCGGCGGTACCAGTGCCCAGTGGCGGGTGGGAGCTCACCATGTGCTGTGCCACAGCTGACAGAAAGGCTTCGGGACGCGGAGAACGAATCCATGGCCAAGATTGCCGAGCTGGAAAAGCAGCTAAGCCAGGCTCGAAAGGAGTTGGAGACCCTGCGGGTGAGGCTGGCGGCGGAGGGGGCCGGGCCGGGGGCAGGCCGGGCTCTCGCGAACTGACCCGTTGGGGCTTCTAGGCTTGACACTTCCCTCTACCCCAATAAGAGGGTGGGGGCTATGTGCCAGGCCTGCTGCTGGGCACTGACCCTTCTCCCGGGATTCACAGGAGCGCTTCAGCGAGTCGACCCCCATGGGTGCCTCTAGGCGTCCTTCCGAGCCTGAGAAAGTGCCTACCCCCGTCCCTGCACGGCCTTCGGCCCTAGAGCTGAAGGTGGAGGAGCTGGAAGAGAAGGGGTTAATCCGTATCCTGCGGGGGCCCGGGGATGCTGTCTCCATCGAGATCCTCCCGGTCGCTGTGGCAACTCCAAGCGGCAGTGACGCTCCGACTCCGACTCCTACTCCCACTCCCACTCCGGGAGTGCCCACCGGCTCACTCAGCCCAGGTGCGCAGGAGCTGTAAGCCGGAGTGGGTGGGCATGGGGGAACCAGTGTCTGGAAGGGGGGCCTGGGGACGTCTCGGGCCGGGACAGTTGCAAGAGGTAGGTTTGGGTTGTGGGCGTGGCTCAGGTGGATGCCAGATGGTAGACAGTGGGCCCAGTGCGCATGCGTAGGGAGGGAGGCGTTGGCGAGACCACCCAGGCCCAGAACTGGACACCCCTTCCCCTCCATCTTTGGTTCTCTGTTCTCTTTAGGCTCAGATCTCCCACCTGTGGCAGAACCAGAGCCTCTTGCCGGAGCAGCACCCCCACCTC